AAAACCCAAGTGGAAACTGAACTATTGGGAAAAATAAATGAGTTAAAATATGAACTTAACCTAAGTACCAAAAAAGGTATAGAGCAAGAAAATCAATTATCTTACTGAAAAACAAGAGCGACTTTCGAGCAGTCACTTGGTAATATTAGAAGGCGACTTGATAAAGAGCAAAGCGAGTGATTAGGGACTTTACTAGAGGCACAAGCGGAAGTAAGTAAAAATAATAATCAATTTGCTTCTCGGCAATTAGTTAAGGCTAAAGAGAAATTGAGTGGAACTTTAACTAAAAAAGAGATGGATAATATTTGCAGAAAACAGGCTCAACTTGCTTATATAGAAATGCAACTACAAGAACAGAATTTAGAAGCAAAAATTGAAATTATTTCTAAAAATTAATATTTGTTTTGACCGGGGAGTAAGGGGCAAAAATGACTAAGGATTCATTAGTAATCTTTTCAATTGCTTAACTCTCCCTTTACATATTTATTAGTTTGCCTATAATTATTTCAAATAATCCGGAAAGGGAAATTTTTACTTTCTTTGATTTCTTGACAGGTGGTTAATAAATTGACCATGCCGTCTAGGTTCCTTTATTAAATAGATATTATAAATTAACATTACAAATATAAATAAAACAACATCATGACCAACGCTCAAGAGTACATCAATCAATTAACTAACAAATCCGCTATTACTCATTTAGATTTAAGCAAAAAAGAATTAACCGGCACCATGGATTTAAAAGAATTTGTTAACCTCGAATCCCTTAATGCTTATCAAAACAAATTCGCCCATTTTAACTTCCTCTTCACTTTACCTAACAAAAGCAAATTAAAAAAAGTTAATCTTTTTGGTAATGAAATTGAAGATATTGATTTGAGTTTTGCTCGCTTGTTTAGGGAATTTCCTAATTTAGAGCAAATCAATTTAGGAGACAATCCCCTCTCCGGAGATAGTTTTAATGGACTAAATCCCCAAGAATTAAAAATCTTAGAAGAAAGAATAACCAAGGAGCAAGTAAAATTAGGGATCTGACGAGGTTCGCTTTTGAAATATGCAGTGCGAGCAATGAGAGTAAGTGAAGAAGTGATTGAGGAGAAAGAAGAGAAAATTGAAGAATTAACTCAAAAAGTGTATGAGAAAGACCAAGCGATTGCCAAATTAAAGGAACAGATAGAAAGGTTACAAACTAATCAAGAGTTAGTGGCTCAGGTATTGGTTGAAAAGGGATTGAAATAAATTTGATAAAACACCATAGTCAGAAAGAGAAAAACGGCAGGTTAAAAGTGTGGCAAACTACTCCTAACTTTTTTTAGTGTTGACTACTTTGTGGGAACTTTTTTTATGTTCCCCTAATAATTGAGAGTTTATCTTTGAATTATTTCCAAAACTTTTGTTTACCCTTTTTTCCAAAAAATTCCTTCCAAAAAAATAAGGTCATTTTTTCTCTTATTTCCAACTAAAAAACACAAAAAAATCTATCTCTCTTTGCCGCCTTTCTGACCCAAATTTGGGAGAGAAAAATTTTCTTTCCGGTTGGCTAAAATAATTAAATATATGTCATTGCTAATCACCCTGGAAGGAATCGACGGCAGCGGTAAAACTACCCTAGTCAGTAACCTCAAAAAAAGTGGTGAATTAGACCTCATAACTCATAATTGACGGGACACCGAATGAGGGCAAAAAATCTGATGTTTGCTTAATGAATCCCGCGGAGCCGAAAAAAATGGTTTACCTAGCAATTGAAGTTATATTTTTCTGATTTTAGTGGCTTTTGACGAATTAGTGAAAAGAGTAATCCAACCTAATTTACGAGAAAATAAAGTAGTTATTATTGATAGATATATCGATAGCACTCTGGTTTATCAAGGCTTAGCTGGTGGCTTGGAAATCGGTACCATCCAAGAAGTTGCTAAAAAGACGATCGACTTGCCTTGGCCTGATGTTACTTTTGTTCTCGATATTGACCCCGCTAAGGCTCAAGATAGATTAAAAAAAAGAAAATTAGCCACTGGTGAATATACCAATTGAGATAAATTGAACTTAGAATTTCACCATCGAATAAGAAATTACTATTTGGAGTTGAAAAAATATTTTCCGGAAAGGATTCACATAATTAATGCGGATCGAAGCGAAACCGAAATATTGACCGAAGTTCAGGAAATAATTAAACAGACTCGTGCACCCAAAAGTGAAGCCCGCTTGCCCCAATCTGTACGAGTAATTATCCAAAATGAAAAAGGGGAATTTTTGCTAGTAAAAGATAAATGAGGCTGGAACTTCCCTGGTGGTAAAATCGAGCCTGGAGAAACGCCCGAAGCGGCTGCCTGCCGCGAAGTATTTGAGGAGACTAATTTAACGATAGAAAATTGTCAAAAAATTGCTGAAGAAAATGTGTTCTATGCTAATTTACCTCCAGGAAATCGGCACTGAAAAGTCCATTTTTTCCGGACCCAAAAATATGCGGGGGAAATAATTATTAAAGAAACTGAAAAAATATTAGGCATTAGATTTGTTGATAGTAATTTTACTAGCCCCAAGACCAAAGGTCACCAGCCCTACCAGTTTTATCTCGAAAAAATCCGCAAGTTCGAAAAATATGCTGGCGGCCAGGGCAATCCAGAAAAAACGAAAAACGGCACAAAAAACAGCAAAAATACTCTCATAATCATCGCCGGAGGCAGCGGCACCGGCAAAACAACAGTAGAAAATTTACTAGCCCAGGACCCAAATATTGTTAAACTGGTTTCAACCACCACTCGCCCACCCCGCACCGGAGAAAAAGAAGGTCAAGACTATTATTTTATTAGCAAAGAGACCTTTCAAACCGAATTAGAGAAAGGTCGTTTTTTAGAACATGTAATTTACGATGGCAATTATTACGGAATCCATGGCAAAGTAGTTGATTTAATATTAGGAACCCAAAACAAGCATGGAATTATTATTGTGGATGTGACCGGTTTTCGGCAAATCAAAAAATACTGCCAAGAAAAAGGATACAACACCATTTCTTATTGATTTAAGGCTGAAAATGTGGAAAAAATGGTCGAACATATGAAAAAAAGAGGCACCAGCGAGCCAGAAATTCTTCGGCGCCTGATTATTGCTGAAAAAGAAGAAAAATTTGCTGCAGAGTTTGATCATATTTTAACAATCAAAGAAAACGATTTAGCCGCTACCGCCCAAAAAATTAAAGAAAATTTGAGTCATGAAATAGGTCAATATAACGAAAATTAGTGCCAATTTACTGTTCTTGTATTTTTATACTTTTAGTAATTTTGAAAATTATAAAAATATGACAGAAATAAATAATATGAATGCTAATAAAAAAAGTAAAACCAAATTAAATTGATGAACGATAACCAACATTTATCGCAAAGAGACAGTTATTTTTTACTTGCTAACCACTTTAAGTTG